TTTTTCCTTTCTTAAAATGTGTAATACATTTTTTTGGAGATATATATAATTTCTTCAAAGTTAAAAACTTTTCTCTGTGAATGACCCTGTTAGGAAGATGAAAAAATCTACAGACTGGGAGAAAATATTTTAAAACCACATATCTGCAAAGGATGCATATCTAAACTATACAAGAATTATAAAACTCAACAGTTAAAAAACCAACAATCCAATTAGAAAATGGCAGAAGACATAAAGGGACTTTTTACCAAACAGGACATACAGGTAGCAAATAACCAAATGAAGAAGTCCATAACGTGCACTACTACTGGATAATAAACAAGAATGAACAAACTATTGATACATGCACCAACTTGGGTGGATCTCAAGAGCTTTAGCTAAGTGAAAAAAAAAGTCAATATGCAAAGTTTACATTTTGTGGGATTTTATTTATACAACATTCTTAAAATGACAAAATTATAGCGTTAAAAAACAGATTAATGGTTTCCAGGGGCTGGGGGTGGCAGGACAGGGGGGTAAGTATGACTGAATAGTTCTGTACCCTGACTGCACTAGTGGACACATGAATCTACCATATGGGACAAAATGGCATAGAACTATACACACTCTTTATACAAAACTCAGTTTCCAGTTTTACTATTGTACTATAGCTATGTAAAATGTAACCAATCATTGGAGGTGTTAACCAATAGAGGTATGAGGATGTAAAATACGTTAAAAGTTTATTTGGGGTCTTAAAGGATTTGAATCCCAGAGACACACATTTAGGTAGCAACCCCGGTTGCCCTCCAGAGAGAACAAAGAAAGGTCTGTAAAGGAAAAAAAACCCCACAGTATAATTCTTTCATGCAAATGAAGGCTTGCTGGCTAGTGTAAGAGAGATTGATTCCTTCCCATATGCAAATGAATGTGGGGCAAACTGCAAGGAGGAGGTATAGGTCATAGGTGCCCTTCGGGCAGTTGTTCCAGGGTGTTTATGAGTCAGCCGTGAGCGGAGTTTAGCAACAGGCTTAGCAATGTAATAGCAGCTCTGAGAACTGAGGGGGAAGGTGTGCGCAGGCCCCACTTCCCTAATAGCCTCCTGAAGCTATTTTGTATAAAGTGACTCTGTTAGCAATGCGTTTCCCATTTTCTTTTTTTTCCATTATCACAGGAAATGGTGAAGGAGGCACAGGGACAGCTTGTACTATCTTTACAACTTTCTCTGAATATATAATTATTTCAAGTGAAAACGTTTGATTTTTGTTAATAGCATTGATTTGTTACGTATAGGCATTTAAAATAGGAAAATTTTGTAATCCTGTTTGGACTTGTCCATAGTTTTAATATGCTAAAATTCTCTGAAGCTGGAGTGGCCAAAGCCTCTCTGGTCTCCAACTTCTGGGACGTGAGAGAAGTAAAATGCACACACCAGACTGGCCGTAACATCCCAGAAGAATGCTGCCTCAGGTGCCCAAGGCCTGGGGTGGTACCTGCAGACAGAGGGAGATGGTGGGCAAGACTCCACATGTTCCACACCTGTGCCTTCTTATTTCTCTCTCTCTCTCTCTCTCTCTCTCTCTCTCTCTCTCTCTCTCTCTC